CAGCTGAATTCTGGACGTGTCTGGAAGCTTCAGAGCTTCATATGTTTATGAGTGCATAAGAACTTTGGTTTTGGGACTCAGTGGGAATATTTTTTGTCTTAGGCTGGTGCTTGGGGCATTTATAAAGGTATTATGACCCTAGCTGTCTCATCAGGAGGGGCACCATACATAAGCAGCTTCCCGGGTAATAATAGCTGTAAATAGCTGCTGTCCCCAGGGTTTCTAGGACAAAGACTAGAAGGTTGCTGGGGGCTCTACTTTCAGGTCTGGTAGTAGTAGTTAACAGAGGCACATAGAAAAGGGACCAGATGAAAGTGTTTTTCTCCCCACCCCTCCCCCAATTTTCCTAGAGCATTTTGTCTGGACCTCACTTCGGTTTTCATTCCACCTTACCTGATATTATACCTGGGCTTACAGGATCATAACATTGGAGCTGTGAGGCACCTGAGAAGTCATTTAATCCAATGTGCTCATTTCAAAGGTGAGTCAGCTGGGGCTTAGATAGGTGAATTAACTTGTTCAAGGTCACAGAGGTAGGCAGCAGAGACAGGATTCAAACCCAAGTCCTCCAATGCCAAATCCAGTCTTTTTTTCCCCCACTGTACCACACTGCCCTCCCCCCTGTAAATGTTGCATCCTTCGGTAGAATGTAAGCTTCCTGAGGGCAGTGACAGTGCATTTATATCCATAGTGTCTTGTACATTTGAGGTGGGAAGTGGGATTTCCTAGTGAGGAAACTCCATCCACCAATGCATATCAGCATCCATTGGCAACTTAGTAGTCTTAGAGAGTTGCCTTGGGGCACTTAGAAGTGTAATGCTTGGTCCAGGGACACACGGCTGTAAGGGGTCAGAGGTGGGATTTGAACTCACATCTTTCTGATTCTCAGGCTGGCTCTCAGAATCTTTCTGAGATGCTGCTTCTCTATCTTCTGCATGCTGCAGTTCAGTCATGCCCGATTCTTTGTGACCCCAGACTACACCATCCATGGGGTTTTCTTGGCAAAGATGCTGGAGTATTTTGCCATTTCCTTCACCAGTGGATTATGGCAAACAGAGGTTAAATGTCTTGCCCAGGGTCACACAGCTAGTAAGCTTATGAGGCTGAATTTAAACTCAGGTCTTCCTGACTCTAGGCCCAGCGCTCTATCCATCATCACCTCCTTATCTTCTGGTTGGTAGGTGCTTAATGTTGATTTGCTAAATGAATTGGAGGTAAAAGGAGGAAATTAATGCCATCCTTGCTGTCCCTCTCTCCTGGTCCTGTTAAAATGATGGGGAAAGACCCCTTGTTTTTGAGGTGTTCCAGCCTTTTCTCAGAAATCCCCCCTTTCTAGAGAGACAGGGGTGGGGGGAGACAGTGTACTTTTGGGCAACCTTCTGGCTTCCCTCTCAGATGAATAACTAACAGGCTTGGTCAGTGAGATCTGTGGGGGGAATCAAGCTGTCTAGACCTCCCAGCTGTTTCTCATTAGGAGATACAGCCCTCATTTGGCTCTGCATTTTGTTTCCAGCCTGAATGAATATGGGGTGACCTCATTCTTCCTGTGACCCATCGTTCACATGGCAATGGAAGGGGCAAAACATGGGCATGTAGCTTACTGAGATGCTGATGGCCTGTTGGCCCTAGGTCATCTTGCCTCTCTTCCTTAAATCCAAGAAGAAAAATGTCTACATTATCCAACTCTCTATGACAATCTTCTTCAAGATCTAACTCAAGGAAAAGATTGTTTAGAGAAAAATGGGCCAAGAAGCTAAATGGGCCTTTCATCTTCAATCAATTAATTAACATTTAAAATGCCCTTGCTTTGTGCCAAGTACCTTACTAAACACTGCAAGGGAAAGACAAAAACAAAAACAGTGTCTGATTTCAAGGCACGGTATGTTGGGGAAGAACAAAATAGAGGCAAGGGTAGTGGGGGTGGTATTAATCCACTGAGTCTTCTCAATGGATTTTATAAAACATAGGATATAAAGGGTAGTTAAGGGAGATAATGAGATGTAAGATAATGAGCCCTCTTCAGGCGCTGAGTGACCCTTTTGCTTACCAAAGGGCAGGGAAACTGGGCTGAAGAATGACCAAGACTGCTCTTTTCTCCACCTACTCACTGATACCGTAGGATGAGGACAAGAGAGTTTAAAAGTGGAGGAACTGGTCCTAGGAGCAAACAAGCTGCAGAAACAGTTGAGAAAAAAAAAAAACAGGAGGTGGAGGAAGAATCCAGCTCCTCACCTTAACTTTGGAGAGTATAGCAAGAGGGAGAAGGGGTGGGGATTTGGGATTTTGTTCCCCTCCCAGTCCTCATTGGCAGTGGCCTTTCTAGCTGGGGGCACTGTACATGGCAGTATTCAGGTGAGTGGGGTCCAGCTGTGGAGTCAAGCCAGCCAGAAGATCTGAGAGTCCCAGTAGGCTGTGTGACCTCAAGAGCAGGGATTTCATGTCCCCAATGCTTAGCACGGTCCCTGGCAAAAGTAGGTGTTTAATAAATGCTATTTGACTGACTGCCAGGGTTGGAATCCTATTAGGGAGATGGCAAGCCCCTTTCTTGTCTTTAGGGTCTGGACTTTGGTCCTTAAAGTGAGGAAAAGTAGCCTAGACTGGAATGTCAGCTGATTCTGAGGCTGGAAGTGGTAAATCCTGTGGAGATTATGAGACCAAGGACAGTGGGAGTGATTAGAAGTCATCAGTAGAATCAGCAACATGAGTTATCCCTCCTCTGACATAACTTGGCTATATGCCTCAACCATGTGGGTGCCCTTCTCTACTTGTGAACTCTGTGTCTACTCTTCCCATTGATACGATGTGTGTGTGTGTGTGTGTGTGTGTGTGAGAGAGAGAGAGAGAGAGAGAGAGAGAGAGTGCCCCACCCCTCTAACTCTATGGAGGAGTTATTTTGTTGCCACTGTTCTTACCATGTAGTTTTGGTAAATACCTTTGCTTTGAGCTAATTGTGTGCTTTGGTTGATTAGTTACAGTGAATACTCTGATGGGGGCTCGTGAGCTATAGTTTTAGGAATTCTGATGTGCTGTGTACCTTGAATAGGGGCGTTTATCATTTCAGGGACCTAACTTTAGAATCTGACTTGGGAGAGCGTGGAGGGACGCTACATAATGAAATACAAAACATACAAAATAAACACAAAGTAATTAGAGAGGCACTAATAACTGAGGGGAATCAGGAAGAGCTTCTCGCCTAAGGTGCTATTTGGGTTGCACCATGAAGTAGGCTCAGGGATTCTTAGGACAGCTCTTCTATAGGAGGTGGACTTGGGCAGTCCTTCACAGAAAGCTCGGGATTCTAAGAGGTAGGATTGAAAAAGTAGAACATTCCAGGCATGGGGCAATAGCCCCTGTCAAAGTTCACAGGTGGACGATGACATGTCACAAGTAGGGAAAAGCAAACGGGCCGTGGTTGGATTATAGAGTGCGTGAGGAGCAGTCACGTGAAATCCGTCTGGAAAGATGGACTAGAGCCACCCCATATTAGAAGTAGGGTTTTAATCCTGGCTCTGAAACCAGCTCTCTGGTCACTACTCCACATTTCCTCTTGTGTAAATGTCAAACAGAAGGATTTGTATTTTATTCTAGAGACCACAGGGGTTGACAAAAGTTTCTTGAGCAAGGATGAGGTTCTGGAGGAGGATATGGCAGTGTAAGATGGCATCACCTTGTTTTAATTCTCTAAACTGATCATACATCAACCCTTTACTCTGAGGCAGGGAAGAGACGATGAAATATGGGGAAACATGGGCCTGAGCAGAAAGTGTTATTGCAATGAAGGCTGTATTTCCTTCTTTGTGAAGGCTGTGGCCACTGACAAGAGACATTTCTGTGGTGTTTGGGAATTTTTTCTTTCTCCTACATGTGGTTCACCCAACACAAATTATGCTAGATTCCAGGCATGTTTCGTTTCTCCTGTCATCTCCTCCCATAAATGATCATAAGAATTATAAGTTTCATACAGCTAGAAGAGACTTAGGAAGTAACCTAGTCTAATACCTTTAATTTACAAATGAGGAAATTGGATCCCAGAGGAGTAAAGCCAGAGATGTTACCAGACAAAGACTTTTCTAGTGTAAATGGAAAGAATGAAATGATTTAAAAAAAATTCCACCCCAAATTAAATGCTATGAAATTATAATGACCAAATCTGGCCCAGAAGAAGAGATTTGAATATGGTTTCTTTTTTCTCTTTTGCAGAGGTGGGGGGAAATGGATATGGAACATTGCATATAGTCATATTTGGTTAATGTGTTAATTAGTTTTGTCAAACTTTTTTTCTTTTAATTTGTGTGTAAGGGATGATTTAACGGATGGCTCTTTGAGAGAAAGAGGGATATATTGGGAAATGAAAGTGACAAATGCAAAAAATGTCAATAAAAAGTTAAATTTTAAATTAAAATTTAATTTTTAAAAGAACAATATTTCAAATCTGGCCTCAGACACTTACTAGCTAGGTGACCTTGGGCAAGTCACTTAACCTGGATTGCCAACCAATATCCTCTTCCCAGATCTCATTCCCCAAAACGGTCTTTGCTCCTCATTAGCAATAAATAAGGACAGCTAAGGTGACCTGTGGATAGAGTGCCAGCCCTGGAGTCAGGAAGACCTGAGTTCAAATCTGGCCTCAGACATTTACTAGCTATGTGACTCTGGGCAAGTCACTTCAACCTGTTTGCCTCAGTTTCCTCATCTGTAAAATAATCTGGAGAAGGAAATGGTGAGTATCTTGGCCAAGAAAATCCCAAATGGAGTCATGGAGAGTTGGACGTAACTCAACAACAAGGAAGCAATAGATAAGAAACTAAAGGCAGGCCTTTCTTCCTGCCTCTTTGAATCTCTATATTATCAGAAGAATCATCTGATAACAGTGGAGTCTATGACAAATCTTGAATACTTTTCTGGGCAGGACTTTTCATCCTTTATTTCCTGCCATTTCTGGGTAAATATGGAAGCTTTCACTCACTCGGGGGTGTCCTCTCTCTCTTTCACTTCTGCAGATGAAATCATGCAGCAGGAAATCCGGCCCCTGGCGGCGGTGGATATCATAGAACAACTCCACAGACAATTTGCCATCCTATCAGGTAAGAGTGGGGCTCAGTCACCATGGAAACAGGCTAGGAAGTCCCAGCCTAGGGAACACCTTGATGAGCATCCTTCCTTCTGTTCCAAACACCCTAAATCCAAGCCCAGGACTGATCTGTGCCATTGTCCACCCCAGCTGGGGAGTGGAGGATAGGTTCAAATGAATGACTTTAACCCGTGGTGTGCTGGCAAATGTTTAACAACCATTTCTCCCAGAAAAAATTGCACACAGGACACACTTCTAGTTTAATTTATATTACTAACACTTTCTGAAGTCTGGACAATCAACAGAATGATAAATCAAGTCCTGATTTATTGTATTTGCCAATCTCTGAGGTAAAAATGCTTGTGCTAGAAATTTACCAATCAGGCTCTAGAGAGAGCCTTCAGCTTACCCCTGGGCTCAACTTTTTGGTACTGGGAATGGTTTAGTTTCATCCAAGCACTTTGGTTCATAACCACCTAGAGAGGGATGCAGAAAAGGGTGCAAAAGAAGAAAATGAACAACCACTCAATCAACAAGCATTTATTATGCACTTACTATGTACCAGACACTACAATAAGCCTTGGTGATACAAAGACAAAATCAAAATTCCTGCTCTCAGGGTGCTCATATTCTAGTAGAGGAGGTAGAATACAAACAACTAAGTACATGTCAGATAAATATAATGTAAAGGGGAGATAATCACTCCTCTAATCACTCCTCTGATCTACCATTGGTTTTCTGTCTTGGCTTTGTATTCTTTTTTGTTTGTTTTTTGTTTTTTTGTTTTGTTTGTTTTTTGTTTTGTTTTTGGTGAGGCAGTTGGGGTTAAGTGACTTGCCTAGGGTCACACAGCTAGTGTCAAGTGTCTGAGGCCAGATTTCAGGTCCTCCTGACTCCAAGGCTGGTGCACTATCCACTGTACCACCTAGCTGCCCCTTGGTTTTGTATTCTTAAATGTCCATTACGGTGTCTTGTATAGAGTAGGCAGAGTAGAAAGAATACTGGTGGGGAGTCAAAAGTCAAAAGTCCTGTGTTCAAATTCTACCTGAGACAACTACTACATTCATGGCCTTGGACAAATCTATTAACCTTTCTTTGTCTCTGTTTCTTCATCTGTAAAATGAAGGGATGTGGCTTTTGAGGTCCCAGCTGTAGACCTAGGATCCTATGTCACTTCTCCAGGCCTGTTTCTACTCTGTAAAATGAGGAGATTGGACTAGGTGCCCTCGGAGGACCTTCCCAGCTCCAGAGCCTTGATCTTATGTTCCTAATAAATTCTTCAAGATCCCAGTCTTGGTAATAAAAGTTCATTAGAAAATGTTAGATGTGGGAGGTTATTATCTAATCTACCCCTTTCATTTCTCAGATTCCAGGAAATAGCGAGCTCTGAGCGGATGGAGGAGGTGTGGGCCAGATGAGATTTCTCCATCTCATAACTCTCTCTACCTTATAAGGGTTGTTTTTTAAAAATTTTTATTTTATTCTGAACTTAAGAAATAAAACAAGCATTTCCATAACACAGTGGGATAGAAAAACAGAAGACTGCACCTGAAATTGCAAGTCCATTATATATAACTTGTTATTCCTTTCAAATATACACCAAAGTTATCATATAACTCCCCCCCCAAACTTCAAGATGGCTACATTAGACATAAATCTGTACGTGTGTGTATGTGTGTATGTGCATGTATATATATGTGTATACATATACACACACATATATGTCTATGTACATATATATGTATATATGTGTGTGTATATCTATATCTATATCTATATATGAATTCAAACAGCATCTTCCTTCATAGAATCTTTGCAGTTTATTGGGTATTTATAATAATCAGAATAACTTGGTCACTCAAAGTTGTTCTTAAAACAGTTCTGCTGTTACTGTATACAATGTTCTCTGAGTTCTGCTCATTTTGCTCTTCGTTGTTTCATGAAGGTCTCTCCATGCTTTTCTGAGATCATTGAACTCAGCATTTCTTATAGCAGAGTAATATTCCATTACGAACATATATCACAATTTGTTTAGCCATTCCCCAATTGACAGACATCCTCACAATTTCCAGTTCTTTGCCATCACAAAGAGAGCTGCTATAATATTTTAGAACATATAGGTTCTTTTCCTTTTTCTGTAATCACCTTGGAAAACAGTCCTAATAGTGGTATTGCTGGATCAAAGGGTGTAGGCGGTTTAGTAACTCTTTGGGCATAGTGCTAAATCTCTCTCTAAAATGGTTGGATCAGCTCACTTTAATTCACAACAATGAATTAAAGTCCCAATTTTTCCACATCCCCTCCAACATTTGTCACTTTTCCCTTTTATCATTTTAGGCAATCTTATAGGTGTAAAATGATATCTCAAGGTTGTTTTAATTTGCATTTCTCTAATCAATAATAGTTTAGAACATTTTTCACATGACTATAAATTGTTTTGATTTCTTCATCAAAAAACTGCCTATTCACATCCTTTGACCATTTATAAATTGGGAAATGAATCGCATTCTTATAGATTTGACAAAATTCTTTATATAGTTGAGATGTGAGACCTTCGTCTGAGGAACTGTCCATAAATTTTTTCCCCTGGTTTTCTGCTTTCCTTATGATCTTGCCTACATTTGTTTTCTTTGTACAACTCTCTTTTAATTGAATGCAATCAAAACTCTCCGTTTTACATCTCATGATGCTCTCTCTTGTTTCTTCATAAATTATTAACCTATTCATAAGTCTGATAGGTGATAAATTCCACGTGGTTCAAATTTTCTTGTAATATCTTCCTTTATATCTAGGTCATGAATCCATTTTGACCTTATCTTGGTAAATGGTATCAGATATTGGTCTGTGCCCAATTTCTGCCAGACTGCTTTCCAGATTTCCTAACAATTTTTACCAAATAACAAATTCTTATCCCAAAGATTTTTAAGTCTTTACACTTGTCAAACATTAGGTTACTATAATTGTGTGTTGCTGTAGATTGTGTGTCTACTCTATTCTACTGATCTACCTTTCTATTTCTTAGCCAGTATCAGATAGTTTTGATAATTGCTACCTTATATAGTTTAAGATATGGTACTGCTAAACTTCTTTCCTTTACATTTTTCCGTTAGTTCCTATGATACTCTTGACCTTTTATTCTTCCAAATGACTTCTGTTATTATTTTTTGTAACTCTGTAAAATAATTTTTCGTTAGTTTATTTGGGATGGCATTGAATATATAGATTAATTTTGGTTAAATTGTCATTTTTGTTATATTGGCCCTGACTACCCATAAATGATTAATATTTCTCCATTTATTTAAATCTAATTTTATTTGATAAGGGTTAGTTTTGAGAATTATTTCAAAACTACCTTGTGAGGTAGATGCTCCAGGTATTATTATCCCCATTTTATAACTGAGGAAACTGAGGTCCAAAGTAGCTAGCCAAGACTCACATAGTAAGTATCAGAGGCAGGATCTGAACTGGGAGGGCTCTTGACTCCAAGCCCTGTGCTCTTTCCAACTCTAGTACACTGTCTCACAGAGCCATTGAAGTATGCCATTTAAATGTTGGCATCATGTTTCACATACACACACACATCACAGTAGAGCACGGAGGAAATAGGAAGAGGATGGGGCTGTCAGCCAACAGCTGGGAGAATACCATGTGCTTAATTAGCCTCTGACACTGCAGCCCAGGCAGAAGCACAGGTCTTGTTTTATCAGAGAAAATGGAACTAGCTAAACATTTTTCTGATAAAAATAAAATTAAACAAACAAAAAAACCCACAGTAAGTCAAAGAGGTTTGGCCAAATGGGATCAGAGGTGGCTTTTTCATTTTCTTTCTTTTAAATAAAAAGTGTTATTAATGTCTTTTGTGGGGTTTTTTTGCACCATTTTATATTTTTCAATATGTACTATTCTTCTTCCTAGATAGAAACCTGTGTTGTTTTTGTGGGTTTTTTTTTTTTTTTTGGCTAGGCAATGGGGTTAAGTGACTTGCCCAGGGTCACACAGCTAGTAAGTGTCTGAGGCCGGATTTGAACTCAGGTCCTCCTGAATCCAGGGCCCATGCTCTATCTACTGCACCACCTAGCTGCCCCAGAAACCTGTGCTGTTTAAAAAAAAAGTTGATTAAAACTGACACCAGTTCCATATCTGGCAGTGTATTCCATATCCCTAGTTCCCTTTCCTCCCTACCAAGAAGAGGAAATGTGTTTCATCATCTGGTATCCCAGGATCAAGACTGGTCAGGGCAATGAATCAGATAGATTTCAGTGTACTTTTTTTTTTTGATGAGGCAGTCAGGGTTAAGTGACTTGCCCAGGGTCACACAGTTAGTGTTTGAGGTAGAATTTGAACTCAGGTCCTCCTGACTCCAGGGCCAGTGCCCTATCCACTGTATCACCTAGCTGCCCCTCAGTGTACCTTTAATTCACTCTATCATGATTATTGTTTATAATGTTCTCTTGGCTCTGCTTCTCACTCTGCATCAGTTCATGCAAATCTTCCCATGTTTCTCTGAATTCCTCATATTTGTCATTCCTTACTAAGATTCCATTTCCTCCATAACGCCACAGGTTGCTCAGCCATTCCCCAATCCATGGCATGTATTTTGTTTTAAGCATTTTGCTGCTCTCAAAGGTGCTGTTATGAATATACCAACCCTAAGCAACACAGATTGGCATCTCCTCTGCAGATTAGGGTCTTACTTAAGGGAGTTGCAGGGGACACTGTGACTTGTATAGGTCAGGGGCAGGACTTGAGCCTGGTCATAGGATCATGGATCGTAGGACTGGGAAGGACCTTAGAGGACATCAAGTCTAACACCCCCTTTTTTACAGATGAGGAAACTGAGGCACAGAGAAGTTTTATATAGCCTTCTTGACTCCAAGACTGGTTCCTTAACAATTCCAGTCCCTTCCCATTCTCTCTGCAGAGTTTGCAGAGCTCAGGGTGGTCTCATTTTATAATCAGGGGAATAACAGGCTGGGGAGTAGGGGTGGCCTTTTCTTTGGTGTATCTAGGGAG